TTTTTTTAAAAACAAACAATAGTCATTTATAGTTTTTTTAGCGCTTTGAGAAATTGTATTTGACGGAAGCAAAAGTTATTATGAATATACAACTACGTATTTTATAGCATATGCATTTATTTTTTTTATAAATTTTTATTGCATCATATATATATTTTTAATGAGTACCTGTTGAATATCGATCGATGAAATTCATACCGATTCCAAAACGATATCTGTTATTCTTGGATTTGCAAATGATACATGTCAATCCTTGAATGACAGGAATCAATAAACGACGCATAACACGTACAATGCAATTCCGGAGTACGCACAATCATGATTTTTGTTGAAATCTTTTTGTTACTGACCCATACGTATTTGATCTATTTTTATTATAACGGTAAATAACCTTTTGTAGAATTTTTCGTGAGGCCATATAATTAAATTATTTGCAACTATACTATTTTTTATACATATACTATATATCTTATTAGTATAGTATGCTAGGTTTATATACTCAAATGCAATTTTTGTAGTCTACACCACTACTTAACTCAATCATACACCACAACTATTCGTAACATCGTACCAAAATACTTCGTTAGGATTTAACATTACGACAGAAAGCCCAATTCTAGCACAATTGGTCATTGAACCATCCTTTATGTAGGTTTTAATAAAGAACTGTAAAAAAGAAAAAAAAAATTAAAGTCAGGACTCTTGAGCATATAACAGAAATGTTTATTTAATTTAGATCAGTTCATAAAGTATACTTATTAAGAAATTATGAAATCGAATGATTTTTGACTCACGAATGAGCAGTTCCAGGAATGAATATAATTATCTTTTCATTAGTTTCATAATCTGGTCTAAAATTTTTTATATTATTATTACAGTAATAACTAATAACAAATATGTGTTTCGATCCGTATATGTCAGATAAATCCTGGTATGTATATCATTTTCTGTAGCGGCAAGAAGTAGTATCTTATTTATAAAACCAAGTTCTTCGACCCAAAGAGCCCAAAAGTTCTGTAAATTTATAGAGCTCAGACAAATCCAAATTTTATAATAAGCAATTCAAGCAGTAAAAAAAAAAGAGAAAAGTACCCATTATAATATCATATAATCTTATACTTCAAATTTGTAAGCTTCGCCGTCTATGGGACGCAATATTAGATTATTAAAAATAACTTAATGTACGAAATCTAAAAGATCTTCACCTTCTATCGATACAAGCTGATTTTTTTCATCAATCTTATACCCAAGTGCCTCCAGGTCACATTTTATAAATTCAACGGCGATA